AAGAAAATAAAAGTGGTTCCACTCAAATCGGTTCTGCTCTGCTATTGTCGAGAGAAGTCAGTAAGTTTTACTGAATTATTTCAAAATTTCACTTTTTGGCCATATCTCCGGAACCCAATGTGCGATCTGGATAGAATTCAATAGCGTTTTATGGGAGAACGATTTAAACAAAATGGAAGTGATTTTATTCAAATTGGTTCAGCCAACGTCGAGAAAAGTGAGTGAGTTATTACTGAATTATTTCAAAATTGCAAACTAAAGTGCGATCGGGATAAAATTCATTAGCGTCCTATGGGAGAACCAATCAAATAAAATAAAAGTAGGTAGTTCCACTCAAATCGGTTCAGCTATCGTCGAGAAAAGTGAGTGAAAAATTTAGTTTGCATTTCGAAATTTCAGTTTTTCGATCAAGAATACGCACTTTTTCTCTTCCATAAATAAATTTCAATGAGGTTTTATGGAAAATCAATATAAATACTTGCACTAATCATTAAGCTGAGTTCATGTGATTTGAGATATCGCACGATGCATTTCGGCGCATGTCAGAATCTGTCCACTTCCCGGAGGCACCCGGTGCATCTGAAAGAGGCCATTATGATCATAGGGGCTGAATATGCCATCCATTAATCTTATAGTAATAGTCTAATGTCATTTGAGGTGTCACATGATGAGTTTTTGATTTATCAATCTTTTGCGAATTCTTCAGTGGAACTCATAATTCCGATCGGGAAAAAAATCAATAGCGATTTATGGGAATCTAAAACACATCTTCTGGAACTTGTTCCACTTGTTGTCTATTGGTATATGCCATTCGACTCTCCGGGTCTTGGAATGAAATTGTGTTTTTCAAGTGATATTATAGCCTTTCGGTACACCTTGGTGTACGAGAAAGGCAAAAAGGTTGATATCAGCAAATTGTGTTGTATTTAGCCATGTAATGAGTATGTTGCTTGATATATATTATTTTAAAACTGTATTTGTAAAATCGTTACAACAGTGTTAGTGTTTAGCGCCAATTCATCGTACTTGGCTTCGTTGTACAGTACTCTCCATTTCTAGATGATCTTTATTTCGATATTCCTACCTATCTGAATCGTTGCAGCAAACCTGATCGTGATTCTTCAACGCTTTTTGAGCACGAAATATTTAGAATCGTATTTAATAAGCTTATAAATTATTCTTTTGATTGTCGATTTCTCCATATTTAGGTGGTAGAAAGTTAAATCTCTCACTAAGATGTGCTCGTTCCCCCGCTGCTGGCATGCAAAAAGACCAGTACTAAGTAACTAACGGATTTCCACACTACATGGCATATCCCAAGTAACAATTTCCAGTTGAAGAAACGCTTTCGTGTTGATTTTGTTCAGCTGCATGTTGAATAATAATTACACAATGTGTTCACCACAACTTTTATAAAACCCTTGTTTACACTGGTTTGGAGAACCTATACAACTGCAACACAAAGGTGTTGTCTAACGTATTCAGTAAAACGTTTACCCAAAATCAATTTCTTGTTGAAGAAACGCTTCCGTTGTGATTTTATTCAACTGCATGCTGAATAATAACTGTACAATTTGTTTATTACAACTTTTGTAAAACTCTTGTTTACACTGGTTTGGACAACCTGTTCAACTACAGCATTATATGTATACGCGGTATAGGAGTAGAAGCAACTTTTATACAACGTTTATAGATACATATTTAAACTCAAGCTTTATTATTTTGGTGAAAGCTCTTATACAACGTTTGTAGACACCTCCTAACAGCTGCTTCGAAATGTATTAGAGATTGAACCTGATAAAATACTGTCTACGTAGTTTATGAACAGGCCCTTTATGACTCCTAAATAATCACTATACAGCAAGCGTTTATAGCACTTTTTAATGACTCCTTAATAACCGTTGTGTAAGTACTCACAATATTCACAGATTAAAATTAGTTTAACAATTGTCGTGGTACGCCAAAATGATTGCTTGTACAGTTTTTATTAATTTAATTTATTTGTGCACCTTAAAAAAAATATGTAATTATGCCATAATTCACATTCTGTGATCATGGAGGAAGTAGTAGCAAGCATCTGTTTAATCTTTGATTGATATTCTTTCAATTAATCTCTCTAATCATTAATTGAGAGAATTTATCTAGAAATGTTATCGTTGATTATATGATATATGTCTTAAATTAATGTTTGCATTTATTAATAACACCTATATATAATTTACCTCTACTCCACCGAGGGTTTCTCGAAGCAAGATTCGAACTCATGATCCCGGATTGCCAGCGGCTTCTGTTTCCATCTGCTCTATTCTTGAATACATATTTTGATCATATGAGAGAAGTATATCAAGCTCATCTTGAGTGACTTCTCTTGCAGTCGAATAATCATTGCCTTATGGTCATATAAACGTGCCTATCACTTGTGCTATTTTTAGCAACAAAATTGTGGTTGGTGGTTGGTCGAACGTAAACAATCATTTAAGATTGCTCCAAGCAGCTTTTGAAGCTTTTAACCAAATGGCAATACAACTACATTCTTGTACAACTCTGGAAGCTATTATTCAATGTTTGATCAACTCAGGTGTTTTATAAGAGCTTCCAATGGTTTGTTTTGATGCGTTTATTTCACGTTCTATATAGCTCTTGTCAATCAGTTTAACAAAGGTGCTATAAAAGTTATCGTAGGTCTTTTAAAGCATATAGGTAAACCGAACGTAAACAATCATTTAAGAGTGCTCCAAGCAGCTTTTGAAGCTTCTAACCAAAAAGGCAATACAACTACATTATTGTACAACTCTGGAAGCTATTATTCAACGTTTGATCAACTCAGGTGTTTTATAAGAGCACTCAATTGTTTGTTGGGATAAGATCCACTCAAATTTATGTTTAAATTACTCAAGCTCTAGAAAACGTAGTTTACTTGTAGACTGAGTAAAATTTTCCGAGCCTCATAAATCCTTTCGCATATGAGAAAAATCGACGAAAACTTTATTTATTCTAGAAAGTACCTATACCTACACTCAAAAAATAAATCACATAGGGGAATATACGTATTCTCGGCAACCTAAGCAGTGACCATCTTTCTATAGCCTTTTTCTCTGAGGAACGCACACATATGCAGTATTTGTGTGTTTACAATCTTTTGCTGCCAGCTGCTCTAATAATTCCAGTCGAAAGAATTGTCAAAAGCTGTTTTGAAACGCTTTTACAAAGCTCCAATCTTCTCTAGTAAGAGCGACTATTGTGGGCAACATCTTTTTATTCGGCAACCTTTCTATTTGAGCTGCGTGTTAAACTGCTGTGTTTTCATCGGCAACTCGAAATCAGCAGCATTTTATAGTGCGTGTGTTTCATTTCAAGAAAATCCTGCTAGATTGCTTTTTCTCAGTGGTAAAAATATATTCAATTTGAAGCTGAAAGCCTGAAGAATCGTTTTAATGCATTCAGCGAAGTGTTTTCTCAGTGTGTTAACTCAGTCTATGAGTTACCTACGTTTTCAAGAATATGAGTGAACTAATCTCAACTTTGAGTCGAACTCATCTCATTTGTCGTGTAATCGTAATTTATCTTTTTATTAATTGCTTTTAACGTAAATTGATGCACTCCAATTAGGTTCAATTCGTTAAAAGCAGGTCTGTTTTGCTCGAACATGACTTTTACTGACATTTAAATTTTCCCATCTATTTCATAAGCCCCCCCTTCCCCATGCCTCCTCCCTCCGTTATACGCAAAACTTCTGCTAATATTATGCAGCCCATTTACAGACATTTCTGAAATTCACAGACTTCTGAAAAAAATCTGGCATCTCTGCTTGGGAGTGACAAGTTGACAAATAAAGAAAGTAGATCGGATTTATGTCGATGTTGTCGAGAAATTTTCCAACCCGAAAAATTCCTAGATCGGAACGGAAATCGGACCCAGCCACCTCCAGCATGGTCTTGCTTTGTAGCTGTGCCTTTACCGACTGAGCTAAGGGAGGCCCCTGTCAAGATGTCCTGCTCCCTGTAATTGTCCCTTGGAATTCAAGTCAGAACTCCTTAGTAATTCTACCGCAGAATACCTTTCAGGGAGATCACAAATTTTTTTAACTATCATCGGAGCTACAAATAAAAAAAAAAATCCAATTCCCACAGATTTTATTTTTTTTAATTAGTCAGAACTCCTTAGTAATTCTACCGCAGAATACCTTTCAGGGAGATCACAATTTTTTTTAACTATCATCGGAACTACAAATAAAAAAAAAATCCAATTCCCACAGCTTTTATTTTTTTTTAATTAGGCACTTGGGTCATTCTTGACTTGTCCAGAGATGAGATTTGAACTCGTGACTTTGGCGTGAAAGGTATTGATGTTAACCAATACGCTGGGGCCGTCCGTGATCTTGGATTTTTTTTGCCATATCAGACAACTTGCATTTTTGATTCAGTCCAAGATTTTTTTTAATTTAAAATTTCTCAAGTTTGAATTTGAATTAATTGTTTAATGCCTTTCTCAAGTATCCTGAGCACCTCTTTAGTGGTTCACAAAACCACCGTAAAAGTGTTCCATCTTGAGTTTGCTTGCTTTTGCCTTGACCTGGGCCAAGATGAAATTCTGTTAGTACCTAGTTTGATTTTCTTTGATGAGGCTTCACTGCTACTAGGATTTAACAAAAATCTTAGTCACAAATCTCGATAAAGAATAATATGTATACAACCTAAAAGAATCCACCAGAATCTTGATCATTTTCGTAAATACTCGTAAATATTTAGGATTGTTTTGCTCCGTTAGTTGAAAAAAGAAATCCTTTTTCTTCTTCATTCCTTTACTTAACGTCGGTCTCTGTTCCGCAATCTCCAGGCAGCTTCCACACCTGCGTATCGCACCCATCAGCCGGGAAAGAATTCCTAATAAAATATCTGTTCAAACCATATTATATTCATAATAGACCAGCTCAGCATCCTTGATTCAGTTAGGATAGATCGGATCAAAAATAAAATGTTCACATTTGATCACAACTCACATTAGTTTTTTTTAAATACTTAATCTTCTGTTCTCATTCGCTTACTAAAAATTCGGATGAAGCAACAACATTCAATTGCATAGCGAATCTACGGATTTCGTCAATTTGCAACAAAAGGAACACGCACTAAATTAGTACAAGCCGTTTTGTTCAACGCACTAACTAATCACTGTCCTGCATTTTCTTTATTTAAGTCTTATATCCACTGTAAGATCACTTTTTGTGCTTTTATCGTCACTATTAAAATAAAAAGTACAAAGTACAAACCATTTCATTCTCCTTATGTTTCTTTTTTGGTATTTTAAACGTTCAAGCGAGGCTTTCCGGCAACAGCATCAGCGGAAGCGTGTCTCCGTTTGATAGCTTTCAGTCGTTGGTTGCAGTATACCCTTAAGAAAATTGCAAGAAACACGATTACCACTCCAACGACACCCAGGAATGAGATACTATGCTTGTAGATCCAGCACGATAGAAGAATGGCAATGGCTTGCCTTAGGGTCATGATGATGGTGAACACCACTGCTCCGAAAGTGGCGATGGTGTAGAAAATGAAAAGCTGACCAATAGCGGAGGAAATTGACAGCACAATGCAATCCAGAACGAATTTCGGGTGTTCGGCTGCAAACTGCAACGAACTGTAGAAACCACCTTGCATAAACAACGAAGCAGCTGTGAAAAGGGTGCTGAAGAGATTGACACCGCACATCATCTGAATAGAGGACATGGAGTACGTTTTGAATAGCTCGCCTTGCCAGTTGGAGGTGAAACTGTCGAATATCATGTAAAATGTCAGAAGCAAAACACCGGTTAGAGTCGTCATTGCCGTTGTTTTAGATTCGTCCGTTGACCCAGTCAGAAAGAAGATCATTCCAACCGAAATCATAATCGCTGTTATGTATTCGTAGAACTCGTATTTGTTGCGCGAGATAATTTTGCCCATCATCATAACTGGTATAATTTTGCATGATTTTGCCAGGACTTGTGTGGGGAAGCTCACAAATTTCAGTGCTTCATACTGAAACCATGCACTCATGATATTCGAAAAAGAGGCATACGAAAATTTATACAGAGGAGCTCGTTGCCTCAATTGCCGCTTCACTGTCAAATAAACGGCAGTGATCATGAATCCCAGCACTCGATTAGTGAAGACAAGAAACTGCGAATCCTTGAAGTGAACTTTTTTCTTATCTGCATTCACGTACTCCTGGGTCATAATTTTCTCTTGAAGTACTCCCCACGTCAGGTACGATCCCATCAATCCAAAGAGACAGTAGAAAAGAAGAATGCATTCCTGCACCGACGACCTCTTCGTACCAGCTCCTTTATCTGCATTTCTTCCATCGATTCCTCGCTCTCCGTCGGAAGAACCTCCAAAGCAGAAACGCACAGCATTCGATAGCAGAGACTTATCAGAACGTTCCAAGTATTTGATTTTCCGGGTATACTTGTATATCAACACTCCGGGAATTAACACGCACAGGTAACCGAAGGTGTTGATCGATAATCGGATTACCCAGGAATATTCCTTCGACCTTCGATCAATCAACTGGGATAGCGTCAACTCATCCTGCCGACTGGCAGCTACCTCAGTCAGTGAAGGCACAGCCGGTCCTTCTCCTAGACTCTGATGCAGTATACTCGAAACCAGTTGTACTATTGTAATAGTCAATATTACTATAAAGCTGCAACAAAACTTTGCGTTTGTAAATCGATAATTGTATTGTCTAAATAGATGTAAGCTTACCAAATGATCAAATCCGGAACCAAATTCCTCATCGCAGAACAATCGATAAAAGTATAGTTCGATCGGAAATTGTTCTGCCACTAGATCGAACCTTTTAACTCCGGATCAGTTTAGTAGCTGGAACTGTATTTCTTCATATTCACTATCGTTTCGAGGTCGAATACCGTCAATGTGAAATCCCTTTGGGCAAAACACTAAATTAGAAGGCGAAAAATCGTAACGTTAAACTTGTCATTAAACTAGTATTTGACTCTACTACTTACCACAATAGCTGAATTACTTTACAGGAGCCTTTCCATTGACCAAATATTGTAAAGGAGCTGAGTTGGGATAATGTTCTTCCTTCGCGAGTCACTAGTGCTGTCAGTAAAAAAAATTAAGATCCGATGATGCGCGCGTTTCTGTCACTTTTTTTTTGTACCATCCGCGGTTCTCCAGCGACAGACAGATCAAAAAGACACGCATGCAGCGATGTATTAGCACCACTTCAAAATTTACAACAACAAAACAGAACCCAGCATGAATTCTACCTCACTGTTATACGTGTTCTTTTAAACTAACTAGCATGGCATGCACAAAATGCATTACTGATTACGCTGATGATTACGCATTGCAAAACAGCTGATCCTTGCGTAAAATAATCCGAGGAACTGTCGAAAGTACCGTTATTTATGCTGTAATGTTGATTCGATTGAACACGGTCAGGGTTTACACTTTGGCTTTTTAATCGGTTCAATCGGTAAAAACGATATTGCTAGCTTTCTAAATTTATTTCTAATAAGGATTTTTAACAACGCACACACTTAATCACGGGTTCCATGTTCGGTAATTTTTTTTTTACAGTATTCGAACTGTAAATCACAAAAAATACCGATCATTCAGCTATTCTCAACAAAACTGCTGATGGTCAGTAGCTATTGCGACAAACTACTGAATACGGTAAAAGCATGTACTGAATTTACCGTAAAATAACAGCTGAATAACAAATGAATGAAACTCAGTAAAATGGAGTACCGAGTTTTCTGTATTCATTGTTTTTTACTGAAATTTACTGAAAATTGTTGATCATACCAGTAAATCCAACAATTGCCTTATAGAGCTCCAGACTTCGGCACGCAATCCAGCACACCGACAGAGCCACAATCCGGTTGAATCATCAGCAAGCGCTAACCGCTCAACCAGAGCTAGTTCAGAATCACGGCTACTATACCACTAAACATGTTAACCTCAGTTCCGGAATAAAAATCGTTCAAAATGTATCCATAATAATCATTAATTTACTGACTTATTCATAAAAATACCTACTGAAAAAAAAAACTGATAATCTCAGCAAAAAAATGTAAACAAATAAATTACTGAAAAATACAGCAATTATTCTACTGACTAAAACGGTAATTTCTGATATTTCAGAGATTCTGCGATTTACGGAGTTTGTGCAGTATGTTTTCCGCTCGTGTCACACCTCGGTCGGCACACCTAATCTAATTTAAACGCTGTCCAGACTGGAGAGTTATAACATGTTATAACGGTTGTCAAATAATTGCAACACAGAAACCACCATCAAGATAGCGCTATAACATGTTAAAACTCTGTAGTCTGAACGTACTATTACCATAGAGGTAACTCTAAGACCACTGGGTCCCGAAGAAAATCATTATTATTTTTGGCTCACTCAGTACCAGAACAACGGTCCCAAGCAGTCCCAAGCTATTTCACTCACCCCTGCATGTTCTGCATGAATCCACACACCCCTGATGTTATCTGTCAAACTTTCATAGCGAATCAAAACAAACATAGTGTAGTAATAGAATTTCAACTAGAATAGGGTACGTTAATCGTTTGCTTGGGACCAATAGGCTACTAAAGTGGTGAGCCAATTTAAAATCGTTAGTTTCGTATTGATTGTTTCTATTACCAACAATCAATATGAAACTAACGATTTTAAATTGGCTCAATACTTGACTAACCTATTGGTCCCAAGCAAACGATTAACGTATCCCATTCTAGTCGAAATTCTAGTACTACCAAGGGGTTGGTCACTCTACACAGTGTGCCAAAATCAAACTTGGGCACACCCGGGCGAAGTCATTGTGCTGTTTGGCACCCATGGTTACAATTTTTATGATCTTTAAAGTTACTGGCAACACTGAACTTTTTCTGCGCTTGCGCGGTGTGCATGTGTCAAAATTTGTTATTGATGTTGCCACAATATAATCTGGAGGGGGACGTACTGTCAAATCAGCCTACTGATCATACTTGTATGAAACTGGTTCCAAACGTAAACAAACGCTGTAGGTTTCTTATGGCTAGTTTACGTTTGGAACCAGTTATGCGAGGTAGGCGACGATTGTTCGTATTTGACAGCCAGCTCCCTCCCTTGAATATAATCTAATTATTTTCAAAACAACCGCCATGGATTCTCAAAATAGTTACACCCGTGACGGCAGTCGCATCCACATTTCCTCCCAGACGAAGAACAGCTGACATCGGTATCTTGACCTGACCGAGTTTTCCGGTCATAGCTACACGAACTAGCGATGCAGCTTCCACGGCTGTGGCTGCTTTCAATGCTGCTGCTGGTCCGTCATTTTTGGAAAATTTTAGAGGAGATGGACCAGCAGAAGGATCAGCAGCAGCAGCAGCAGCAGCAGCATTGGAAGCAGCAACGGGAGTTGCATCGCCAATTCGTGTAGCCGTGGTCGACGCTGAAAACCTCGGTCCGGTCTCGACAAGCGGTGCTTGAGATTTAATCGGAAAGTCAACAACCAAACAAAAACTATACCATCCGATCATTCGAACTGCTCGAATACATCCATGGCGGTGGCTGCTACACCAACCATTCCATCGTTCAACGTATAATCAACAATCAATACGAAACAAACGATTTTAAATTGGCTCACTGCTTGACTAGTCTATTGTTCCCAAGCAAATCAATTAACGTATCCCATTGTAGTCGAAATTCTACTACTACACAATGTTTGTTTTGATTCGCTATGAAAGTTTGACAGATAAAATGAGGGGTTATTGGTTTTTCCTATGTTTCGAGGGGTGAATCGATTAGCTTGGGACCGAAGAGAGTACCAGAGTTGAGCCAAAAAGTTGAGCACGTTATTTCGGGACCTTCTAGTCTTAAATGCTGTCCAGACTGGAGAGTTATAACATGTTATAACGGTTGTCAAATAATTGCAACACAGAAACCACCATCAAGATAGCGCTATAACATGTTATAACTCTGTAGTCTGAACGTACTATTAGCATAGAGGTAACTCTAAGACCACTGGGTCCCGAAGAAAATCATTATTATTTTTGGCTCACTCAGTACCAGAACAACGGTCCCAAGCAGTCCCAAGCTATTTCACTCACCCCTGCATGTTCTGCATGAATCCACACACCCCTGATGTTATCTGTCAAACTTTCATAGCGAATCAAAACAAACATAGTGTAGTAATAGACTTTCAACTAGAATAGGGTACGTTAATCGTTTGCTTGGGACCAATAGGCTACTAAAGTGGTGAGCCAATTTAAAATCGTTAGTTTCGTATTGATTGTTGCTATTAGAGTTACCTCTATGATAGTACCAAGGCTGAGCCAAAAAGTTGAGCAAGTTTTTTTTTTTTTTTTTATTGTAGTCATTTTAACACTCTTGGGTCATTCGTGACTTGCCGGGGTAAGATTTGAACTCGTGACTTTGGCGTGAGAGGTATGGATGTTAACTACTAAGCCGGGGTCGCCCCCAGTTGAGCAAGTTATTTTGGGACCTTCTAGTCTTAGAGTTACCTCTATGGTTTAATCCTAGGTTTAATCCCATTTTGAGAAATTATCCTGCCACACACAATAATTGTATGATTGTTTTTTGCGGGGCAGTCGTCAACTTTTTTAAAACCGGCTCATTCTAAATGCTTGCATTATTATATTATTTGTCATTATTTATATTCCCCATCGTGTAAGTTTTCTGCTGCATGGGTCGATATAGTTTGGGGACTGCCCAGCCGTTTGTTTTCTGGAGATTGAAACGTCAGATTGTTAGGATTTATCACGTGTTATTTGAAAAGTGCCTATCAGCTTTTGTAAACAAAAACTGTAATTTCCTTACCGCCCGAATCGAAGCCGTCCATGCAAACTAAAATCTCTATCAGGTAGGAAAAACACCCTCTTTAACGATTGTGTTCTTTGTTTCCGTGGAAAAACTTCTATTCATGCGAAAAAGGCATCCCAGGTTTTGTTTACAAATGTTGATAGGCTCTTTTCAAATGTTACGTGAAATTTTCCCCTGATTCCAAAACCCAAATATTATCAATTCGTAACAAGAAGCACTTATTACGAAATTCCGATGATTTAGCTAAAACAATGAATATTCTATGGAAAAGTTCACCGAAATCGTTGCTATTCAACCCGTGTAACATCCGATCACTGATAGTGACCTGCAGCATTCGTCGACCATGCAGCAGCAGCAGCTGTAATCCGGAACCAAGCGACTCCGTCCGAGTGCGTTTCGCTCCCAGTCCAACCGGTTTGTTTTGATTCGTTTCGTGTTGCGTAGGTAATTATAATTTAGTTTATGAAATTTCTTTATGTTTACAGGATTCATGCACTTGGGAGGGCTGCGAACTGCTTTGTTTAATTACCTGTTTGCGAAATCGCGTGGAGGGAAGTTTGTGTTGCGCATTGAGGATACGGATCAAGAACGACTGGTTGATGGTGCTACGGAACGTCTATATCAAGATTTGAAATGGGCTGGAATAGTACCGGATGAGAGTCCATGGAATGAAGGTCCTTACGGGCCATACGTTCAAAGCCAACGGTACGACATCTACAAACAGGAGGTCAGAAAGTTGATGGAAGATGGTCGGGCTTATTATTGTTTCTGTTCGGAACGGCGGTTGGAATTGCTAAGGAAGGAAGCGGTTCGGTTGCGACAAGTTCCAAAGTATGATAACAAGTGTAGGCACTTGACACCGGGGCAGGTCGCCGAGCGGCTGGCCAAGAACGATAAGTTCTGCATTCGGTTCAAGCTGAATTCGAAAGCGGATGAGTTTCAGGACATGATCTATGGGAAGATCGTTTACTTCTTAGCGCAAAACGAGGGTGACCCAGTTATTATCAAATCGGATGGTTTTCCGACGTATCATTTTGCCAATGTGGTCGATGATCATTACATGAAGATAACCCACGTGTTACGGGGAGTGGAATGGCAGATATCGACTCCGAAGCACATACAAATGTTCCACGCGTTTGGATGGAAGCCTCCACAGTATGCTCATCTTCCATTGGTGATGAATCCAAATGGATCAAAGCTCAGTAAACGACAAGGTGACGTACAGCTGGATCACTACCGAAGGATGGGAATCTTTCCTCAAGCACTGCTCAACTTTATAACGCAAAGTGGTGGTGGCTTCGAAAGGGAACTAGTTGACGTCATTGGACCTCAGATGCACGATCTGATCAAGCATTTTGATTTGAAAAAAATTAACGCACACTCTAGTCGATTGAATCCGGATTTACTGAAACAGTGCAATCGGGAAGAGATCGAGTACCAACTGCGGCACTCACCGGAGAAAGCTGATGCCCTGGTGAAGGAGGTTATAGGAATGGTCCGGGCCGAATTTGCTGACAATCTGAAAGGACTGGATCTAGACGAAACACACGTGCGAGAGGTCCTGGAGTGGTCCGTCAAGAGAATCGATGCCCTGCAAGATCTGGTCAAAGGGAAGCTTTCCTTCCTGTGGGTTTTACCGAAGGGTACCAAGGATAAAACTATCGATAGCGGTGAGATATGGATTTGTCATCATGGGTTGAAATGAGCAATCTCGAACAAGTTTCTATTTGCAGATATCCTAAAAGTGTTGGCGAACAACCTTGCTTCCGAAGAGGAGACCGCATTCACCAAAGCCGAACTAGGTACGTTCCTGAAAGCATTTGCCGAACGCAACCACCTTGCATTTGAGCAGCTGATGAAGTCTCTGCGGAATTGCCTCAGTGGCCTTAAGGAAGGGCCTGGAGTCGCCGAAATGATGGAAATACTGGGCCGCGATAAGACAATAGAACGCATCTTGCTGGCTGCCAAGAGGAAATAGACTTGTACTTTTGCAATCGCAAATGGACTCTTTATTAATTCTCTAAGACTTGTTGGACGAAAATTATACATTATTTTCTGGTCTGGATTAAGACAAATATGTGTTGAGTACTTGCTGTATAGTTAGTTATAATAATAAAGGTAAACTTAAGCTACCATTGCTAGTTCAAATTTCCTTTTCGTTTCATTCGTTCCGAGCATTTCGAAAAATGAGCCTTATCATATCACATCCTTCTCGGTATTAAAAGTAAAAGTCAATAACCACCTACATGTTACCTAATGCAACACTGACAACTTTGGAAAGCTTCTTCTATTGGGAGATTTGATATCTACTCTGGTTAAAAATTACGACGAATTTGCTTGCAGCACATCTAATTGAATTCGCGATCGCTCAAAACCATCGGCGCAACCAAGGTCCAGGCGTACAATCCCAGACAGAACCAGCTGGATATGATCTTGACCCACATTGAGGCGGCATTGGCGTTGAGGGTATCCAGCGATGAGTTGGGTCTAAAACGGGGTTCGAAATTATAGGGTCTACTAAAAAGCATGATCCACATCCAAACATGGGTGCATATAGGAATGATACTCACTGATACCAGTTGGTAAGCGTCATCATGACGTACAGCGTGGCGGTGACGAACACCACATGGAACAGGGACCACGAGTAGGCAACGGCATCCTCTTCGTTATCACGGACTTCGTTCGATGCGCCACCGGCGTGCGAGCCACTGTCGTCACTTAGCGTCGCTGCCAAGACTTAGATCGTTAGCGCATTTTCAAGGGATTGTTTTGTATTTACGGTACAAGTGAAGGTTCAAAAAGAAGATGCACCACACACCGACAGGCCGTTAGTAGATAGGGGTTGGGTGAGCAAAGTAAAACACGTGGGTTAGGAAAGAATTGAAAGAGTGTTTTGTTAGTAAACGGATATTAGAGCGAATTAAAAGATGAAGCGTGTGCTAATCTGATTTAATTGTTGCAGGGCAGTTGAATTTTTGATTTGCAACATATGCGTGTGTGAACAAAATACCGCTCAATTCAATTAATTTGCGTTTTGGTTAACATTTAGATTTTCAATGGAAATATTGCTTATGCTCATATCACTAGCTAAAATCAACAGCTTTCAAAAACTATTGAAAAAATCAGCAAAATTGGTTGTCCTACGGCATAAGCACCAATGTAACGAAGCAAATTTCTTATTTTTCTTGTTATGTGTTTGTGGATACCAGCGTTGCCAGATTGTTTTCCAGCTTAACGGTATCAACAGTTTAAAGAAATCGGTATTTATTATCTTAATTTAAACTTTTGAACTAAGAACGAAAATGTTGCTTTCCAGGAGAAGTCGGAAGAAATTTCCGGGAGATGTTTGAACTGGCTTCTGAAGGAAGCCGATAAAACTTCCAGAGAAAGAATAAAGTACACACTTAGATTTTTTGACGAGATTGGCACCGCCGAGCAGGCTCGGCCTTTATTTTTACTGAGATCTCAGCAAAATTTATGTTGGTTAGCCGAGATCTCGACAAAATTCCCGTTTGTTAACTGAATCTCGGCAAATTTTTCACTGATAGCGAATTCGTTTATTATCGGTGCGGTATCAGTGCGAAACCGACCTTTTTGTCAGTGCGAACCTCAACCTGAGCTAGGTTTTAAAAACAAACGAGCAAACTGACGTTTGTCAGAAAACAAGCAGACCCAATCTTAAAACCCGATCCAGGTTGGAACTGAATAATAAACGAATTCGCTATGAGATCCAGCAAAATAGATTGCCAAGCTGCTCGGTGGTGCCCATCTCGGCAAAAAAAATCTAAGTGTGTAGCTCTTCTGGAGGAAGCTTGAAGAAAGTTCTAAAAGAAGACGGAAAAACTTTAGGGGTACTTCCAAGACTTCTGCTGTCAATTTAAAGAAGCTTTCGGAAAAAAAATAATCAGATGACACAGAGGGAGCCAGACAAGAATCGGAAATCTGAAACAAATTTCAAGAGAAGTCATTTTCAGATAAAGCCAGAAGAAGCTCATAAAACCCATCCAATAGAAGCCAAAAAAAAAAAAACCTACGAAGAATGTTCCGGAGGAAGACGAACGGAATTTCTGGGTGATACATTTGGTAGAAGTTTAATTTAACTTCCTGGAGAAAACGGAAGAAGCTTCCTAAGGTAGATTGGAAGAAACTTCTGGAGAAAGTCGAGAGGACTTACGGATAAGTCGTAAGAAACTTCAAGGGAAAGTTGGGGAAAAATTCCGGAAGAAAGAGATTTCTTGGAGATGTTAGCACAACATTCTCTGAAGTCCCTTAGATGTTCTAATGATCCTGAGCAATTTTCCTGATTTTTATAAAACATCCCTAAAAACCCAACAATGCCCCTGAAGTTTCCTGAACATTGCTCACAATATTCTTGAATTAATGGAACATCAGCATTCTGATCTCCTCGATTTTTTTTTAATTTTTAAAACTACCTTGCTCAAGTTTTCGGAAATTCCCAGAGTTTATCGGGACTCCTTTAAAATTTCAGCAACTTCCTTTAAATTCAAATTAGTTGATCTGTTCTTATGTTCTCAGAAGTTTCCCTAAGTTCTTTTAATTCTCCCGCAAAAAAATTCAACAGTCCTGAAAACCATTAAATTTCCCTGAAGTGCTTTGCACTTGTGAAGATTCCAAAATATTTCTAATGTTCCCTTAGGTTCATTGGAGTTCTCTGGACTTTTCTGAAATTCCCGGGTTCTCAAATTTTAACAGATTTTAATTAAACTTTCATTAATTCATCGGAACTTCCCTGACAGATCTTTAAACTTACCCAAATGTCTGGATTATTCTGAAGAATCAGAACTTCTTAAAAGCTCCCGCAGTTTTCCTGAAGCAAAAATTAAAACCGCAACACTTTAAGCATCCTTTTGAGCAGAAGAAACTTCCAAGGGATGTCGAAATAATTTTCCCGTAGGAATCGAAAACCAACTTACGGGGTAAGGTGGAACAAAATGCCAAGGGAAGATTGAATATGCAGGCAAACATTTTGATTATTAAAAATAAATCGGTATAAATCGGCATAAAAACTAAAATATCGGTTTTCTGAGAAACCATATCTGTACAGAGGTATCAAGTACGAAAATCGGTATAAATACCGATAAATCGGTATACACCTTCCGATGAGTTTGACCAGTGCTTAAAATTATTGACTGCCTAGGCTGAGTGTGAAAGCACTGCACTATTCAATCCATTGCTCTGTGCAGACCGTTTGTACCAAACGGTAAAGGACGAGGCAATGAAAGAACCAACAAAAACAATCAGTCACTCACGAGCAGGCGACGCACACCGCTTGCCTTCGCTCACACAGCATGTAATTGAGTCATTTTTCCAAAGAAAATGCACGATCAGTCATTCAAAACAAATATTGGGTACCATCACAGCAGAATAAACGTGTTGACTGAGCTACTGACTGAGTGCTCGGCTGTCAGTGACTCGCTTACCTCTGAATCATTCAGACTCTCATGAGGTCATGAATGATGAGACAGATGGCAGTTACAGACGGTATAGTAAACACAGACCGGCGGATAGAAATTCCGTAAAAATGGCAGCACGGTTATTTTTACATTATTTTTCCTATTGTCTAGCAACACTTGCAAATGCTTACGCATAGAATGACTTGTATTCAGTGCAGCAAGCTGTTATGTAAACAAGCTTTAACTTTGGTTTGAAAATGAAGTGTTTATATAAAGGTTGCATGAATAATTTCCACTATGGCATAAAAAATGTTGGGTTTTTCCGATTCCCTGCGAAGAATGGCATTCTGGAACAATGAAAACTGTTTTGCGGACTGCCGGAAGATTTTCGAATAGTCGGAAGTAACCGACTTTGTAGCGTAAGTAAACTTATTTTTCACAAGTGAAGACTTAACAACAAAGCTTTTCAAACCGATTGTAGTTGCTCTTTGGCGAGGAGCATGTGTATTTGGACTGTGGAGGAAAAATCAGAAAAGTTTCCGGGGTGATTCCCTGCTACTCAGATGTCCAGCAAATTTTTCATCTAAAACGCACTGATCGTAGTATGGAGGATGACGTTGATGATATTGAGAACATACATCCAAGCCCACAAACCTCGACAGTATCAAGTATGCAGTATCAAGATATTGAATATTTCGACGAAATTTTCCTACACCCGGATGAACATGACGGCGAAAATAGTGCCGATTTTGTTTATTATTCTCATTATTCCGGAGAATCTCGAATGTAACCAATTTGTCTGGAACAAAACCCAGAGTCAACAGTGTCAAAAATAAAGTTCTATGAGATCAAATAGTGATTATTTTGTGTGTTAGATCAATGTGAATCTATTGCGTACTTCACGTCCCAACAAACATTGAATGTTGAATAACAGCTTATTCAGGCAAACAAAAGCTTCTTCAGCTAAAAAACAGTTTATTCAGCTGTTGATCAACTCAAATTGTTTGTTGGGGTCTAACTGGACAAAAATTGTGATAAAAGTGCTCGTTTACGTCTCATGTTATTGGTGTCTTCGGTGCGCTTATTTCTTGCATTATAAAGAATAAGTACACCCAAGACACCAAGAAGATTAAACGTTTTTTATCATTAAAAACATAATAACGGAAAACCATGTTCGGGATTACAATACTCTCCACACATTATTCGTTTGTCCGTTTGGCTCAACATTTTGACAGTTCATTTGGCTCCGCTAGATTCGTATCCGCCGGTCTGTGTTTACTATACCGTCTGTAATGGCAGTTCATATTCACATCGAAATGACTCAATGAACCTGACTGTTTTGCGCACTGAGTTTGATAGTTGATAACGCTACGCTTTAAAGTAAACACGAGTTTGTAGAACTGTACTGCCTACACGCAGGCAAAAGAACGTAAGAATTCGTTAAGAAGCACTTATGAATTTTAGCCATAAGAAATAAGTGTGAATTTCATTGATTTGCCTTATGAAAAATAATGTTGACAAAAAATAATAATTCGGAGCAGACCGAAACCGAACCATGGACGTTGAGATTACGGAGCTCGTGTGTTGACCACTCGTCTTTCAACGCTTAAGAAAATGGAATGGCTAAAGGCGTATAAGAGCTACGTTATGAAAGACGAAAATGTTTCATAATTCGCGCTTATGAAATTCATATGTGTCGTTCATAAGTCGTGTCTTATGAAATTATTAAGTCTATTTGCCTCAGTGCATGTTATCGGAAAATCATTCATTAGTCATGCTTATGAAATTCATATATCTCGATAGCTTTTTCAAATGGACGTATCAGCTTTCATTTGATCGTCGATTTGGCGTAACTGGTAGCTCGCCCATGCAGGCTAACACTACCATCAGATAAGGGAAATTTTACCCTACCTGCTAGTGATGTTAGTAAGCGTGTGCGAGCTACCAGTTACGCCAAATCGACGATCAAATGAATTGTTTACAAAAGCTGATACGTTCCTTTGAAAAAGTAATCGAACGTTGACTCTTATGGATCGGACAACCTTGTTTTGATATTTTTCACGGTATCTTCAGAACAAAACAAGTAACTTTTAGTGCGGAGTGTAAAATACCGGTAGTTAACAATCGATTCTAAAGCTGGGTTTAGACAGGGCAAGTCCATTGATCAAGTCAGTTGAATTCAATTGGCTTGAAAAGTTGAGCCTGGTTCAACTTTTTTCAATTCAAGTGAGTTGATCAAGTCAGTTGAATGGCATGGTTTACACGTTCAATTCGCGTTCAAGTCAGTTGAATTCAACTGACTTGATCAATTGACTTGCCCTG